CATTCCCTTTATCATATGCGATCTTCTTGGATATTTTGGACTCCTTCAAGGACTCAAACCCTAACTTACCTAATTTATACAAATTTCAGCTTAGGTACTTGACTTTTACAACGCATTACAAATTAGTCATTTGTCCATATAATTGCCAACACTAAAAACCTAACAAAAATGATCAATTTGATTTATGTTTTCTGCTTTTGATTTATAAATTTCTTTATATATGTGATATAATAATAAGCTCAAAGAATTCTAGTAAAGAATGATAAAATGAACATCTATATCATTTGCGAGAATTCATAAATTATCAAAAACAAGAATCAACAAAAACACAGGGAATATTGAGCATAACAGCATAATTTTATTTCTGACAATGCATTAAATTAAACACAAGAAAGTGACACCAAATACATAAAAAATTAAGCTCAAATAAAGTGGTGAACTACCCCAATGGAGCTTGACTTATTCTACTACACTAGAACATCAGTAATTATAGTAATATTGTAAGGGCCTTGATTTTTAGGGACACTTCATGGTGGAGTGGTAATACCTGCAAGAATAAATATTTGCAGCACGTGAAAAATATGTTAAATTTAGCAATAACCATTAATAATTCATCATGATTAAAAACCATACACATCATATTTAAAATAGTGTTTGTGTGTGTGTGTGTGTGTGTGTGTGAGAAAGTGAGGAACCTACTTCCACATCTGTAGTTGCGAGGAATAGGCATACCACATCCTTCAATCAGTTTCACAACACTTGATGCTCCAATGCCTTTAATGGTTGCTGCTGCTTTAGGGCCAAGATAAGGACAAACACATTCAATATGAGCATCCCTTACGTTCTGACAACAAGCAGATGATGGATTTCTCCCAAAAATAACTGGCCTGCAATTATTAACCAAGTATTTTTTTTTTCATCCTTACATTAACTTGGAGTTACTGTTGGAATATTAAAAATAGTGGAAGGTTATTTATGTCATTTCACCCTTTCTATTCTGTTTTGTTAGTTAAGCTTTGTATAAATAGGCGCCAATCTGATTTCCCTTGGATGTAGAATTCATATTTGTATCAATTGAATCCAATTCTTCCCGCCTCATATTCTCTAGTAAATCTAGATCTTCCTTTTACATTTTATCATGGTATCAGAGAGTGAAGAACTCACCGATTAGGTTTTATTGCTTCTGTCGATCAGATCTGATTTTTTTTATTTGTTCCAATTGTAATGGCGAACGATTCTAGCGTTCAAGCTGAAGTTCAAAGTAAGTTCGAATAGACGAATACTTTTACTGATTCATCAGCTAAAGATTCAACTGGAGCAAATGTGATCTCGATGATTAATCGCTTGATGAGCGATCCTAGTAGTCCCTATTTTCTTCATTGTAGAGATAACACTGGAATGCAGTTGATTTCTATGACTCTTACTGAAGAGAATTATGAGACTTAGAGTCAAGCAGCAACCATGGCACTTAGTGTTAAAAATAAGGAAGGTTTCGCTGATAGATCTATCATTAAACCTTCGCATAATGATCCTTTGTACACGGCTTGGAGAAGATGTAATCATGTGGTATCCTCTTGGATAATCAATTCCATACCTAAGGAGCTTTATCCAAGTGTAATGCATAAGGATTCAGCTAGAGAAATCTGGATCGAATTGAGAGATAGGTGCGATCGGGGGAATGGTCCTCAGATCTATGAATTGGAGAAACAAATAGCTTCAATTTCTCAGTCAAATAACTCAGTTAATTCCTATTTTAATAGGCTCAAAGGATTGTGGGAGGAATTGGAGAATTATAGACCGAGTACTGATAATGCCGATTATAAACATGAGGATCAAATTATGCAGTTCCTTATGGGATTGGATGAACAATTTGTTGGTGTTAGAGGTCAAATTCTGTTAATGGACCCTCTGCCTCAGTTGATTAAGGTTTTCGCACTTGTCTTGCAAGATGAAAGACAAAAGGAAGTCACTACCAATAAATAAGCTACACATGATGCTGCTGCATTTGCTGGCAGAGCTGTGCAGAAATCTTTTAGTCAGAGATCTAACTTTGTCAGTCCTACTCAAAGAAGAGAGAGATCTGTGTGTAGTTATTATGGCATGCCTGATCATATCAAAAGCAAATGTTATAAGCTGATTGGTTACCCTCCTAATCACAGATTTGGTAATGGAAGACCTCCTGTGGTTAATGTTGTTGGTCAAGTCTATCATGGCCAGACTTCCATGTTTGATACACCAGGAATGTTGAATCCACTCTCACAGCTTTCTATCACTCCAAATCAATGCCATCAAATTCTATCTGTGTTAATGCCCAAGTTACAAAGTCCTGTCACTCAATATCAACCACCACATGACATGCCTTCGTCTTTCCCTATAGATCCTGATTTATTTTCCTTGTTAGGTAATCAAATGCATGCTGGTCTTTTGTCAGTACCGAATAGGTGGATCATTAATACTGGTGCCTCAGAACATATGGTGTATTCTGTCAAATTTTTAGCTGTTGTGACTGCAATTGTTGGTGCTTTTGTGAAGTTGCCAAATGGTGAAAGTGTGGCTGTCACTCACATTGGCAAAGTGAAGTTGTCTTCTACTTTATATTTAAGCAATGTTCTTGTTGTGCCATCATTTAAGTTCAACTTAATATCAATCAGCAAGTTGACACTTGAGCATAATAATAATCTAATCTTTTCTCATGATGCTTGTTTTATACAGGATCTTTCAACGTGGATGATGATTGGGGCAGGAAGACTTGAGCATGGACTTTATCATTTCCAACAAACTCAGTCTCAAATTCAACTTCAAACCTCACAGCATTCTCAACACAAACCTGATCCTGCTATTCTCAGAAATTCTGTTGTTGTCTCTAATGATGTTTCTGATTCTAATTCTTCTTTTGGTTGTAATAAATCTGTTCCTACTTGTAATACCACTGCTGGTACTGATATCAAAATGGATATAGATATCTGGCACTGTCATTTAGGTCATTTGCCAATTTCTAAGCTTTTTCTTTTGCATAAGTCTGTTCCTCATATTGAAATCAATAAAAATCTACTTTGTACTGTCTGCCCTTTGGCTAAGCAACACAGAACATCTTTTCCTATCAGCAATACTAAATCTTTGCACAAGTTTGGAATTGTTGATTGTGACATCTGGGGACCCTACTGTCCCTTCCTTAGATGGCTCAAAATTCTTTCTAACAATTGTTGATAACTATAGTAGGTTGACATAGACTTATCTTATGAGGGAGAAATCTCAGACCAAAGTTCTTCTTCAGTCCTTTTATCACCTTGTTCAAACTCATTTTCAGTGCAATATAAAAACCATCAGATCTGATAATGGTCCAGAGTTCAAAATGACAGAATTCTATCTTTTGAAAGGGATCATTCATCAGCTTAGCTGTGTTGAAACATCACAACAAAATGGTGTGGTTGAAAGGAAACATCAACACTTACTCAATGTTGCTCGTTCTCTGATGTTCCAAGCCAATTTACCTAAACTTTTTTGGAGAGATTGCATCCTTACCGCTACATATATCATAAACAGAATACCTACCAAACTGTTGGATAACAGATCTCCTTTTGAGATAATGTTTAAAACTACACCATCTTATAGCCATCTTAAGGTATTTGGCTGCCTTTGTTATGCATCTGCATTAAGGAGAAACAGAACCAAATTCGATCCCAAAGTTGTTCCTTGCATCTTCATAGGCTATCATTTTGGCATGAAAGCCTATAAACTCTTCAATCTCAAAACTAGAGCTATTTTTATCTCTAGAGATGTTTCTTTCTATGAAAATGTTTTTCCTTGTCACTCCTTAATGCTTTATCCAAGTCCAACAATATCAGTCCACCTGACCCTACTATGTTTCACATATTTTCTAATTCACATATTGATGAGTTCCCTTCACCTTCTATTCTCAATATGTCTACTAATCCAAATCATTCTACCACTCCAAATACTCAAGATCTTCCTTCAACTTCTGCTTCTTCAACTCCTGCTTCTTCAGGCCATGCACAACCTTCATCTACTCATTCTTCCTCACCTATGATTCTGCCTACCAGAAAATCTGTTCGATCCAAAGGTGCACCTTCTTACCTTAAAGACTACCATTGTAGTCTTATTTCTAAAGTTCCACTGTCTCAATCAGAATCCATGAAGGAGCATTATCCTATTGAAGACTATTTGGGCTATGACTTGTTGTCTCCTTCTCATAGGAGTTATGTTTTAACATTGTCTACTGTTTTTGAGCCTAAGACTTACACTGAAGCCTCTCAGTATCCTGATTGGGTCGAAGCAATGGATACTGAGTACAATGCCTTAGTTCCCAATAATACTTGGGATATTACCTCGCTTCAAGCTCATATAACCCCAGTTGCTTGTATGTGGGTTTTTAAGGTAAAAATGAGGTCTGATGGGATTGAGGATAGAAAGAAGGCACATCTGGTAGCCAATGGTTTTACTCAAAAGCCTGGTTTGGATTATGAGGAGACTTTTTTCCCTGTTGCAAAGCTTGTAACCGTGAAGACCCTCTTGGGGGTTGCAGCCATTAAAGACTGGCACCTTCATCAGTTGAACATAAATAATGCATTTCTTCACGGTAAGTTGGATGAAGAAGTTTACATGCTTATGCCTCCAGGTTATGAACATCAGGGGGAGCATGGTGAACAGATGGTATGCAAGCTAAACAAATCCATTTACGGGTTGAAGCAAGCCTCTAGACAATGGAACATGAAACTCACCTCTTACATTCTGTCACTGGGTTTTAAGTAGTCCAAGTCAGACCATTCTTTGTTTAGCAAATCAAATGGCTGCTCATTTACCATACTTTTGATATATGTTGATGACATAATAATTAGGGAAAATGATTTGAGTTATATCAGACAACTCAAGACTGAACTGAATGAGCAATTCAAGCTAAAAGATTTAGGAATTCTGAAATACTTCTTAGGTCTTGAAGTTGCTAAAAGTTCAACTGGAATAACCGTTTGTCAAAGAAAATATGCCTTGGATGTTTTGACTGATGCTGGCTATCTTGGAGCAAAACCAGCTCATAGCTCATTGCCCTGCAATTTGAAGTTAAAGAAAGATGAAGGTAAAGATGTTGCTGATCCTAGCATTTATAGGAGACTTGTTGGAAAAATTTTATATCTTACCATTACCAGACCAGATTTATCCTATGTTGTTCAAGTGTTAAGTCAATATCTTCAATCACCTAAACAGCCACATTTGGATGTAGCATATTATGTTCTGAGATATATAAAAGGCACATCAGGGCAAGGTCTATTCTTCTCCAGAAGATCTGACCTACAACTAAAGGGATATTGTGATGCTGATTGGGCAGCCTGTTCTGATACAAGAAGGTCTGTGACAGGCTATTGCATATTTTTGGGGGATTCTTTAGTGTCATGGAAGTCAAAGAAATAGCACACCGTCTCTAGATCCTCAGCAGAGGCTGAATATAGATTGATGGTTGCTGCTGTTTGTGAATTTACTTGGCTGAAGGACATACTTGCTGACCTTAGCATTGATCACAACAAACCAGCTCTGTTATTCTGTGACAATCAATCAGCAATACACATAGCAAGTAATCCGATTTTTCTTGAAAGAACTAAGCATATAGAAATAGATTGCCACTTGGTAAGAGATAAGGTACAGGCTAATGAAATCAAGGTGCTGTATACGGCTACTCAACAGCAGCTGGCAGACTTGTTAACTAAACCTTTGGCTGGGATCAAATTCTCCACATTGCTTAACAAGATGGGAGTGTTAAGCATACACCTGTCATCTTGAGGGGGAGTGTTGGAATATTAAAAATAGTTGAAGGTTATTTATGTCATTTCACCCTTTCCATTCTGTTTTGTTAGTTAAGCTTTGTATAAATAGGCGCCAATCTGATTTCCCTTGGATGTAGAATTCATTTTTGTATCAATTGAATCCAATTCTTGCTGCCTCTTATTCTCTAGTAAATCTAGATCTTCCTTTTACATTTTATCAGTTACTCCTTGTGCCATTGTAACCACCCGACCACCAGCAACCATAGCAATCAAAATTAGCATCCCAACCCATTTCCCCAACATTTTCAAACCCTCTAACGGTGAATTCTTTGTTTCTTTTTCTAATTTCGTTGAATTTAAAATGAACCAAGACCCCTTATATAGAGGAAAGCATAGTTGGAGTTGCCGTGTTGAATGTTCCACCATTACCTAAATAAGTTGACATATATGTATATACTTACTTTTATTGTCTTTATTTATATAGCATCATTGTGTAGTCGTTTTCTAAAATATTTTTTCAACGGATTTGGATTTTATTATTTCGGGAGCAAAAAATTTTAGTGTAATTCTATTCCCAACACCACCATTTTTGTGAAGTACAACACATTTTAGTTGCAAAGTAAATCTTCAAATTTTTTTTTTTTTTTTTTTTTACTAACATCTTCAACTTTTTTCCTCATACAATTTTATCTTTTAACCTTCAATTATTTAACACATTCTGCCTCTTATAATGATTTTTGTCCAAATATTCTGTTAACATGGGAATTTTTTTTTTTTTCGAACTTATGTATTTGTTGTTTATCTTGCTTATTTAAAAATACATAGGGTAAATAACTTTTTTTACTTCATTCAAATGAATTTATTTGACCATCATCAGGAACAAAATGTACCGACTAAAATAACGTTGAGATGATGAAACAAGAAAAAAGTTGGGGACATAAATGTGAAAATGACCAAAAATTAATAACTTTATTATTATTATAATGAAGTGCGGTTAACAAAATGATATGTGAATATATTTATCCAAAAATTTATTGTTCTATTTTACTTCTTTTTGACCTTATACTACTGAAAATGAAAGATTTTACGAAGTAGC